TTTTTAGGGGACAGAGGTTTTATAGAGCATGCAAAGGATTAGCTGAGGATATTTGCTTTCATGGTATTTGTGCTCCTTTACAATTTGTAAGTAATACTGAAAGTTAAGCATATACAAAGAGCACTGCAAGCTTTTGATGCATTTTTCACATGGATGGTTATGCTTTTGCTAGTAGTGAAAGACTGTTTTTGTGAAACACAGGTCCCTTCCCAAGGCTCAAGTTATTTTTCAGTTGCATTATTTCTCTAGCACTGACACAGAGCTGCCAGATGAAATTAAGGCAGTGATTTTTTGTCTCTACTTACAGGGTTTTTTCTGTTTACACCACAGAGTATTTGGTGCAAGGTCTGCTTCTTCCCATGTTCAGTTTTAGCTGCATCCCAGCTGTTTTTGAATCATGAGCAGCTATAAAACATATTATGATAAACACAGAAGTGTGAGAGAGGTACGTTCATGATCGGGGCACTCCAAATCCACCTGCAGCAATAAAAACTATTATCCTTCTGTCCTTCTTCTTTACAGAGCTTGCTTTATTGAGAAGGCTGAAGACATCTCACTGGCTTCAGCCTGAGATGTGAAATGTTGTTACTAAGTAATGCTCACCACCACAACTAAGTCAAAAGGGGCTTCCACAAAAGAAAAGCTTCAAGCAGTAAATATGACATGACAATATTTATTTATTCTAATTAAGGTTAAAAAAAGTCCACAGCTGTCAGATAAAAATATCTGCAGAGCCTATTGAAAAGGGAACTTAAGAAGGAAACCAAGGGAGACAGTCACCACAGAGGCACTTGAGAAAATGCTACAGTTATAAAAGGCACAAATTCATTACACACACAGCATATATATTCCTGCAAAGTGAAGTCACTCTTTTTTTTCCAAAACACTGATGCAGGCATCACTGAACAATGACCTGTACATGACCACAGGAGACAAGCTGTAAGTGGCAGTCTATGACAATGCCTAAAGGATTTCACTGTAGAGATACTTTGAAAGCAAGACTGCTTTGGCCATCTCATTTTTATCTCTATTGAAGAATAGACTGTAAGTTCAAGGTAATCTTAAGGTGGTGTAGATAGGAGAGAACGTTAGTCCATTTAAACGCAGGTCAAGTTTATATGGGAACATTTGTAATCTGCAATTTAAGTGGGTGTGCCTTTTGCCTGAGAGCAGTGGCAGATCCACTGTCATTTAATCCTGGCTTCCTTTTGCATCCAAGTACTTTTGAAGGACATACAATTCTTTCTTCCTCAAAAGTATTTTTCTTCCATGTCTTAAAAAAACCTCAAAACTAAAAATTTCTGCACTTTAAAGTCTACCTCAGTGAAAACAACAGTCTCACTGAGGACACAGGAAGATTATTTTCAAAGAAATCCCTAGTTTCTCCTCCAGGCTTTGGGTTCCTGTGAGGGACAATGTTCAGACATATATTTAATTGTGACTAATGTATTTGTTGTTTTGACAGCAGACGTGCTATTTGGAATCAAGTTCTGCATTGAGAAAAAAAATGTACTAGTTAAAAAAAAGACAAGGGGCTGCCTCAGATTGTGCACTTCATTGTTACTGCCAAATAGTTTACATGATTAGCTTTTGAGTACTTATGTTAACACAGATTTTTAGGCCATGACCTGACATCCTTTGCAGTATATGTTGCTATCAGAACAGTGTACAAACAAGTAAATCTCTTTTTTTTTGCAGTGTTTTAAGAACCTTACAAAATATGCATGATAACACAAATCAGTTTATAAGAGACAAATACAATTATTCCCACAGTTGTTCCTATAATATATTTTACGAAGCTGGTAAAGTGCCAGAACTCTCTTGATAGCAGATTTCTTATCAAACAGGTTAATAAATTAAGAATATAGCATGACTGGTTACCCATTAAACCAGAATTCATTCCTCTCCTTGAAGGGTTGGCATATAGGAACTAAAAAAAAAAAAGTAAACCATTTATAACAGTTTCATCTACCCGTGGGGAAGCAACTTGATTCTCTCGATACATTTGTCAATATACTCATCACACTGGCACCCACATAAACAAAGTGCCACATATTCCTTTTATGTAGAGGATGTTGAGGAAATAGCAGCAAATCCTTCTTTTTAATCCCATAGTGGTGATGAACTCCACAGCACTATCACAGCATGACACATCTGTAAAGAAAAAGAGACCATTCCTAATGCTTTGGCAGTCTGGAAGGAAGAAGACAGAGACTTTTGAGGGCTAATACAAGTGTTGCAATTCAGACCTCCCAGCTCCACCAGACTTGGCTAGAAATCTCAGGGGAGATAGTTTGGGATTTTAAGTCACACCTCCTTTAAGTAGCAGCAGAATAACATGAGAAATGCTTTTAGGTTTTTTTTTTTTCCATTTTTGTTTCACTTTGACAGTAAGAATAATAAAGGTTTATAACTATACATACTTGTTTGTTTGTTGTTGTTTTTTTAATTGACCAATCCCATTAAAAGCTTTAGTTATTATTCAGTTCAGTCCTAACTGTATCTAACTTCTGTTTTTCCTTGGATTTTCTGCACATTTTCTTGTTAGGCTAAGAAAACCTCTGCCAGATTCAGGAGTAAAGAAAAGAGAGATTTGAGGCATGAATAAAAACAATTTATCCTCATTAGTCTCATGGACCTGCTCTCCTTCAGAGATCTGAAGAATATTTCTAGGGCAGAAGCAGGACTTGAATTCCAAACAGTTTTGGCACAGAAATAACCTGCAAATGCAGAACTTTATATGTTAAGTATGCATTCACTGTCTAGTACTTAAAAATATTGGACTAAGGCTTTAAAAATGTCTTTCCCAATTTAGGTTCCTATGTTTATTTCTAGGCTGAGAACAGTCTGAGTTGCAAAAGCAATGAACTCACACAGTTCCCAGTTTTCAGTTCCCAATTCATTTAGTAAATAAATCACACAGAGAGAAAGTCATGTAGGAGCACTCTGTGGTAGGCAAATGTCCCAGCCATTTAGTGCTCTATATGATACAATGAGAAAGGCCATATGTACACTGCTGCACTGTTCTTCTGGCTTAAAGGTATTTATGTCTGAAAAGCTCCCCTGTGCATTTTGAAAGGCTGTTATGCAGATATTCATTTGTGATAAAATCCAAGATGCTGTTACAAGAGACTGAACTGGCACATCAAGTTAAAAAGAATGAAACCTAAGGGCCAGAAACTGGTACCCAGCTCACCAATATTACAGTTTTTAAGTAGTTCAGGGGATTTCCATGAGACTATCTGGAAAATGAAGTGCTGCCCTGCACAAGCAAGATCAGATGCTAGCCCAAAAGGCCTGCCTGAGATCGGTGATACAGTTCTACCATCTGCTCACATCAGGAGCTGAATGTATTCTTATCATGCTTCTCTCCCCGGCTCTTTACTGAAATGTAATTTTTTACATATAAATCGACACTGGTTGAAGGGAGAAGTGCAACAAATGGGCTCAGAAAAAATTCAGCCACATAATCTTTCTCAAACTTCATACGCGCCAAACCCTGCTCTCTGTTAGGCCTGTGACTTCCTCTTGGGTTGGGCAGATGTAAACCAGCAGAAATACCTAGAATAAGGTACTGTGATGATGACAGGCATCTACAGTCTTGGTGGCTGAGTTTTTTTTCCTTTTATTTTTTGAAAGGTACCAAGCTAGGGAGGGCAGAAGCACTGATGTGTGACCATCCTATCCATGGTTCTCTTTGATCTCTCTACCATTTCAGGTCCTTGATTAATTACCAAAAGTGCAGAGTATCATGCAGCAGAGCAGGAGTGGAAGTCCTAATCACATCAGTACGGTTGTTTGGAGAGACTGAAGTTCTGCATCAGCTGTTTAGAATGAAACACTTGTCGGGGGGCAGATAAAGTTTGGGGTTTTTTTACGCTAACACTACAGTTTCAAGCCCATTATGCCCCACCAGGCAAAAGACAGCCTCAGGGTGTTCCAAGTATAAATTTATGTAGATGAAAAAAGGAGGGAGATAAGAAAATTATATAAAGAAGCTTTTATGGACAGCTCTAAAATTTCCTGTAGTAAGCAGGGGTTAATTTGCCATCATGCAGGAACAGGGAGCTAAAAGAAGACCTCAGAGGCAAAGGGGTGTCAAGACAGGGTAAAAAAGGCTTGAAAGGCTGTGCCTGTACCATCACATTAGCACAAAGTTCCCCATTCATAGTCAGGTCCAAAAGCCTGATCAGCTTCCTCTTGCACACATGAGCTGTAGTCTGGAGCCAGCACATTTTATAGGCAGAGGAGATCTGATCCCACACAGGGCTGGACTTGACTGGGACATATGAGCTCTGCCATTTCAGGCAGTGTGAACACAGCTGGGGAGCCTGAAATTCAACTCCATAGCCAAAGGCAGTAAAAAGTTATTCTTTAACTTGCTGTAGAACAAATATGCCACTGGAAATCATTACAACCTGTGGCCACACTTGCATCATTTGGATGCATAAATTCAGCCTGACTTTTCTCCTAGGTGCTACCTGGGCTCTGGACATTTGGGTGAAAAATAAAAACAATAAAAAGATCCTCACCAGAAGTTTGAATCAAGTGGTTAATTATTCTTTAAGCTATGGATTTCTTTTCCTATTCTACCACACAGAAAGGCAGAAAACCTCTGTTTACAACTAGAGATGGAAGTGCCTGTGAAGACATCAGGGACTGTTTCAGATACAGGTATAAAAAGAACCAGCAATCTCATCAGATCAGGCTTTATAGAGCTGTTTTGTCACTTCTGAGATCTCGATAAAGACCTTAGGGTGATTGACAGAATTCTCTAGAAATTCAATAACGAAGTTACTGTTAGAAGTAGGCATGGATTCAAGGGGTTCTTTCTCAATATCGATACTCACCCTTTATCCCTCCCCTCTAGCCCCTTCTCTGTCTATTGTTTTCTCCTCTTCCCCAGTCCTGATTTGATTTTGGAGACAGGGAAGTGCATGCCCAAATTCTCTGAAAACCCTAAAATCTCTCACGTGTGAGGCTTTGTGTCAGCACCTTTTTCAGTTTCGAACCAGAAGTCCTTTTTTGTACGCAAATAATCCTGCCGCAGCCACGGAAGTGAAGAAAGTGGAAAATCCAATCAGCTTTAGCAGTCCCGGCACAGATGGCAAGTTCCTCTCCCAAAAAGTTGTAGTGATGGGCAAAGCTGGAACATCCTGTGGGGACAGCATCCACTATCAACATAACATCTCCACTGTGAGAGGCAGGATGTAAATCAAGGTATTCCCGCAGCAGAAATGGAAATAGGTTGAAATAGTTGACGTTGTGAAGAAGTACAGTGTGTCAACATTTTTTTCTCAGTTCAAGGGAAGAGGAAAAGACACATGGAAAGGATTCATAGACTACTTAAAAAGAGCAGTTCTTTCCAATCCTCTGTTACAGAGTTTTCAGATGGGTGTCTTTTCTGAATTTCTGTCCTTTTCCTGTTTGGGGAAGGGCAGCTCTGGTGAGTAATGGAAAGTTTATTGTGGCTTTGGTTTAGTGAACTTAAATAAAAACCAACAAAATTTCATCTCACCAGCAAAACAGCAGAAAGAAAATAATCCTATCAAACTACAGAAAGACTTACAGTTGATTCAGGTTCTGGCTTCCAAATTTCACTGTCTGGGATTTTCCTCATAGCAAACAGTATCTGAAAGTAAATAACATTTCCTAGTAAATACCTTCAAAAGGGACAAAGGGCTTATTTCAATTTTAGTTTTAAAATGGCATGATGAAGATAATAATTGAGCACATAAATCTCTGTATTCATATTCTAAAGAGAACTCAACCTTTGTACAAGTAATTTCTGGGGAGGCCTGATATTTAATAAGACACTCATCCTAGCGGAAAGAAGAAATAGTAACAGAAAAACCGCTCTGTGCTTAGTTAGTCCATGTGAGACATCAGAACTTGAGTGGCCCCATGAGAACAAGATAGTATGAATATGACTAGGAGTTAAGTTTACACTCATGGCTAAGTGAGGCATGCATAAACTAGCTACTGCGTGGGCAACCTATGTATCCAGGAGTAGCTTGGTTTATAAACTTTAATATGATGTAGGAAGAGGAACAGAATCCTGAGAGCGATGACAGACGATTGCCTTCAGACAGAGAAACGCAAGACTAAAACACCTTTGCAATGGGAAACTAAGCCTTCAAAGTACCAGTGACACCAGAGATGAGAAGTATTGCAAAGATTATCTGAAATTATAGTAATGAAAGACAGCAAGATTAACTTCTACACTAAAATAAAACTGAAGTAGTGATATTAATGTTTTTCCTATTCCAGGCACTTAAAGATTTAACAAGATTCACCTTCTTTTACGATTGGCTTTTATTCTAGACAAGATTCATGGACTCTGTAAACTTTTCAATATAGAACAGTAAGAAACACCCTTGCACTGGATTTGAAGCATTTTTTTTCCTTTCAAAAATGAATGAGGAAAGAAAAACATTGATTTTTTTTTTTTTTAGCAGTCAAGTTCACTTGCCAACTTCTCTGCTGAGGCCTATGAGTTTTTGCTGTAATGCCCTTTTGTCAGCGAAGTGATGAAACACAACCTCTGGAGGTGTTCAGAAACAACTTGGGTATAACCTTCACAAATGGAACAGTTTAGGGACAGTTGATCCCTGTCTTTTAGGGGAGAGTTATGGACTAGCTGAACTCTCCATATCCCTTCCAGGACAATTTATGTTCTATGACTGTAGTTTTTAGCCACAACATTCCCTTCACCTCATAAAACAAAGATGAAATTTCTTTGGCTGCTCCATAAACAGTAATATTCCTGTAAGTATCTGAGGAATTGGAATTTTCTCAGAATGATAATATTTACATTCTTGTTTAATGACTTCATGTAGGACAGTCTCAATGGTATATCACTGTGTCCATGATATTGTTGGAACAGTTGAAGAATGGACTGGCTTTGGTCTGCAGAACTGAACTGTTCCTAGTGAGGCCAATAGTCATGATCTCTCAGTATGATGATTAACTAAGTGCCCATTTTGGGGATAAAATGACTAGGTGAGACTTGGGATTTCTGTAAGAGAAGGAAGAATGTCATTCTTGGAAACAGAGAAGAATTACATGAAACAGCCAGAGCCCTTTCTAAGCATTTCAAATGTTAAGTGCAAAATTTTAGTCCTCTTGGATGTCTATCCCCTTTGCAGGAATTTGCATGAAGATTTCAGAACATCTGAAGCTGTCGACACTCACTTTCCATTTCATCTCCAACTAAAATATCCACAGGATATTTGACAGTGCCCTGGGCTTGTGTCCATACCTCTCTGGCAGCTCTTTCTCCAGCCTGTACCGCTCCCTCCATGTATCCACTCCACTCAGTGGCTGTCTCTGTGCCAGCAAAATAGATCCTGCCAATGGGCTGCCGAATGATCCTGGAGGGACAAGCAGAAAGTCACATCAACTATATCAGGAAAGGTAACTGAAACCTCTGGGTTAGTATTGGTATACAAGTGTTTTAAACATCAAGCACTTAAAAAATAGTGGTGAAAAAAATTTGGGTGAGTTGAGCTGGAGGGGGAGTCTGCATTGCATTTCATTTCTTACAGTAAACACACCAGTGTTCATATTTTCCAAATATTAACACTGCAAATGTTGCAGTGCTATTTTTGGTTGTGAATCCAGTGTTCATAGGTGTGAAGGACAATTAGCTTGAGATGAGGCTTATTCTACCTTATTATTTTAGCCAGTGTCATAAATACCAGTGCCAGACATTACTGGTGAAGCGTAGCATTCTGAAGTACATCTCCATGATATTTCAAGTAACAAGAAGCAGGAAGGAGGAAGGAGGAAGAAGAAAAGAGGAAGGAGGAATTCATTTTACCTTATTTACCCACTTTTTGCCAGAATTTGCGATAATTATCTTTTTTAAAAAAAAAAACTAAGGCCTGCATATGTTTTTCATTACAACTGCTTTATAACTCTAAGTTCTTTTTAAATTGTAAAAGCTTATATTTCAAAAGTAGGGCTATGCCATCACATTTAAAACTACCTATTTGAATGAATTCACGGGACTGACCTGCATGCTTTTTTCTTTTTGGCAAATCTTACTTGCATGCAAAAACTTATGTTGGAAAGGACTGTACACAATGGCACACTGAATACTATATTAAGCCTTGACTACTAAAAGGAAAAGAACACTCCAAAGAAATCACTCATTACTGTCAGTGTTGGCAGGAATTAACTCTCTGACAGTATTTCTAAAATAAAAAGCTAAAGATGTGTTGGAAATTGTAACACCAATCTCAAGTATCCAATTCTGTAAACAGATCGTGAAAACTTCCCAACTCCCTTCCAAGAACTTAGCTGTATTCACTGCATAACAAGAGTGAATAAAACCCCCTACTGATAATGTACTCATCTATCATAAAGCCTCACTGAGACAAGTAGAAAGTTATGATATCTCTTTAAAATATTCCCAAGAGATCTTAAAGGTATAAAGTGAACAGTGACAGAGGATTTCTGACCCTTTCTGAGGATATTTATTAACTTGGTCTTATCTTACTACTTCCAAGCACACTAGAAATAGACACTGTACCTTCCATACTGAGTCATTATGCCTGGTGGGAAGTAGGCTGTGTAGCAGCCCCCAGAATACTGCTCTTCACACCAGTTCTTCTCTTCATAATGCACTGGCTGTAAAACAGAGATTAATTCACTCATGGAAAAGACAAATTCCTGAGAAAGCTGATATAAGAACAGAGGAGACAGCAGAGAAGAATAGCTTATGATTTCTTACATGTCAACATCTGACAAGATGAGCACGTGCAATAAGTTTCTTAATGCAGCATGGACCCAACACAATAAGCCTCAATTTTAGACACTGTTAGCTATGTTTTAAAACCTACCTAATCTGGCCGCTGTAAAACATAATCGTCTTAATCTGTCAATGCAAATTTATGCTTGAGCACAAATTTATGCTCTGAGTCACATAAAGCAAAACTAAAAAAAGCTGTACACAGGTATAATACTTGTAATATGTACACTGGATACATATACATACTGTTAAAAATGTGAAGCATAGCAATTGCATGGTTCTGCATCCAATAATGTTTTTAAAATTATACAATCTCATGGTTGGTGTCTACACCTTTTAACTCCTGCAAAATCACCTTAAAGGATAAAGGGCATTGATCATATAAACTAAGCGTGAGATCACAGAAATCCTACCAGTTATTTATCATTACAGCAAAGAGATGGCAAGGGAAGGGCAAATAGAAAAAAGACATGCAGCAAGGGACCTTGTCAACTAGTAAGAGAGAAGAAAACTTATGCTCAACAGACTGAGAGGGAAAGGCACATCTGTCACATCTGAGAAGAGTTGAGATGCATAGTGGCAGTACTGTGAACATCACCCATGAAGCTGGCCAAGAACAATTCTGTCTTTTAACTGTTTCATAGGCTCATTCTTAACTTCTCTGCCAAGCATAATCAAACACTTGCCATAACTTCCTCTCCACTCCTTTACAGAGGGCAGCAAGTCCTCCCGTAGTAGGTACCTTTTACAAAATACTACACACTGTTGTGCTGGAGCAGCGCTGCATTCCAGTTTCACTCTGTCCTTCCCCAGCTCAACAAGTCTGACAAGAGACACTACAGTTCAGACTTTATGCTTACATGTAAAGCCTCCTCTGATCCCAGAACCTTTGCATAGAGCTCACACAGCCTTGTCTTCCTGCAAAGAGAAAAGCAACAAAAGACTTCCGTGTAAGGAAAGAAAAAAACAAATCACCTCTAGTATGTCCTAGTTTTGAGAGAACAATTATTAATACCTGCTTGAACTTAGAGTTCCAGCTTTTTGGGATCTATTCTAATTGGTCCACCTCTGGATCACTAGAAACAATTCACGCAAACTCCTATGCTGTGTAAGTGTCAGTTTTACCAGCAGTTATGCAAGCTTACCCTTAAGGTATCTCTAAGTAGCCTAAATTCATATATTATCCAAGTTCCTCCGGGCTGTCAGGAAAAGAAAGCACTAAGGCATTGCACTTTTTTGCATTAGCACATAGTCTAACTTATGGCTTGTACGTACAGAGATGCAGCAGGTATTGATGGCGTGAGGCTTTCAGGGAATCAGTACTGTATTTCTGTACTAAAAAAAAAATAAAAATCCTCCTGTTTGTGAGTCCATAAATCCACGAATACACTTCACTCTGCAGCAAACCCCAAATGCAATTAAGTTTGTTCCTACAAGCTTTGGGGTCTCACCGTTTACTCTTAGCTGCACTGCACCGATTCCCAAACACAGAGAGATCAAGATGAAATAATAGTCAACAATTACGAAAAATAAAGATGCAAACACAACACCTGAAAGACTTATTTCTGGAAGCAACTCCTGTTCTACACAGAAAGCCATGCTGGATACAGAAATACAGCAGTCCCAGCTGTACTGCAGGGCCTACACGTACAGCTACAGAAGCATGGGAGGAAAGTGCCTCTATATACTGCTGCATGAAGCCAGGCAGCTATACAGGAGCCCAGCTATACCCATGAGCAGCTGAACTCAAAGAATGCCATAGAAAGGGGGTGATGAGAAAAAAAAACACCAGGAAGAGCTTAAGGGCTTTGAAGGTGTCCTCTGCAGGCTGGGTCTTGAGCAGAAAAGTGAAGGCTGTTACAGTATGGGAAGAGCTGTGGCCCTGGGGTTATTTTGCTGTTGGCAAGCACAGGGGAAGGAAGCAGCCCCTTCCTCATGCCCCAGGGCACTGGACAAGGGCCAGCCTGCTCCAGAAGCAGAAATGCACAGCAACACAACGACTGGCCAGGAGGGATCAGAGAGCAGCAGGGTCTATGTATCAACATCCCTTTGCAGTCAGGGGGTGACATGAATCCAGCAATGGCCCTAACAAAAGGGATTGTTTCCTCCATCTCTCTTTCCATGTGGTGATCATCTCCTGCAGACTACCAGCACCTACCCAGTGTCTGAACATAATAAACATTCATTTTAACAGCATGATCCAGCAAAGCCTTTGCTGAGGTCTGTCCACCACCTCTTGCAAATGCCAACTGGCTCCTCCTTTAAGGGCAAGGTCAGTAACACCACGAGGCTCCACTGGAAAGTATGTTATCATCTGTGGACCTACCTACTCTGCTCCTCCCAGCACCATGACAGGGATGAGAAGGAAGAAAGGAATTACTAATCGATAATAAAGTATCACTTGGCTGAAAAAACCCATAGCAATGCAGTTTCTAAAGCGCTGAATCGTACCAGCAGCAATCTGTCACTGAGGACATCCTTCCTAATAAGAGCAATCCTTGCAGATGGGCTGGTATCTCTGCAAGATCTGCACTTTTTATCCTAGAGCAGTTTAAATAAATACTTATTTATGGATTTATGGCTAATACTAGCATGGAACATATAGAAAATGTAGTGAGTAAAATCCTTATTTCTTGGCTTTGGATTAATCTGTGAAATTGCCACCAGCACTACACAAGAGGAATGTTATGCCTGGAGCTAACTCAGTAGGGTCCTGTTGAAAGTTACATCACACCCAGCGTGGAAGAAGTGCTCATGCAGATAGATACTCATCTCTTCTCCCTGGTCTCTTCTTCCACAGCAGTGTGTGACACCTTCGTTGCACAGAAATGCAAGATAGGGCATAATCTAACCACTGCAATTACTCATTGATGCTTGGTCTGGGAAGACCAGCTGGAAGGCAGCAGTGAGTTTTACTCCCTTACATCTGGCTTAGGTTGTAGAACAGTTTCCATCCCCTCCCACAACTGCTGTTCTCAGCCGTGATTTAAGTTGTCTGCCATGGACTCTACATCCTACTCTTGCTATCCAAGAATTACTGAAAACCTTACCCTGTCAACAACATAACAAAGGGAGAGCCCAGCTTGTGCTGACAGGAAAGCACAGCATCTCAGTGAGATGCATCCTCTGCAGGGTGCAACAAGAAGCTTTTCCTTGGCAGGGATCCCTCCCTGCAAATGCCATAGCCCCCATCTAAACAACAAACTTGCTGCACCCTGAACACACACTGGGAGAAAGTCGGGGTGTGTGCTCTGCCTTCTCCTGAACCCTAGTTTCCACTGCAAGGTGAGATGTGTGCTCATATGCAGGAGAGAAGCTGCAATGCAGCCCAGCAGGTTCCCACCTTGGCAGACTGAGACCAGGACTTCAGGAACCAGAGGCATCCCCGTGCCCTTGCAGCAGGGTACTTCTATCAGTTACCAACCCAAGTATACTTCTACATTAGTTACCAAAGCAAAGTTATTCCTAGTCTATGGTTTATTCCCTAAAAGATGAGGGTTCAAAATCCTTTTGTTTAAAAGTTAGCCATGGCCAGCAGCAGAGTCAGAAAAGTGTACTCATGTTTTTAACACCCAGGGGAAAGCAACCTTTCCTTAATGATGCCTTGCACTCAGCCAGGACAGCCCTTCATTTCAAAGAATGAGGACCTGTTCTCAAATACCCCAAATGCTCAGCTGCATCTAGTGTATTGACACACAGTGTAGACACCATTTGGTGTTAATGATGGCTTAATATGCTGCATTTCACAATACCTACACTACTTTTATTGTCAGTCACCTGCTGGACGTCTTCTTCAAAGCCTGAGTGCCGGGGAAAAGGCTGCCTTGTCCATTCTTGCCAAAATTAAAAACACTGTGTGTCACTTGAAAAGATTGGGACATTAGACCCATTATCCACAATCTGCTAGACTACCTGCAAAGCTAATCTGAGTTGACTGTGTCCACTCTAGTTAGACTAGCTATTACTGTAAAATGTTTATTTGGACACAGTATTCCTTGTGGCATGCTTTAAAAACAGAGGTATTTTCTCCATGTCACAATAAGGTTCTCCTCATATCCACAGTCCCTACTTGTAGCTTTAATTTGATCAGATACTGTGAATCAATGTGATGGAAAAAACTCATTACTGTGTAAATTCTGTTTTAGTAATAAACAAAAGAAACACTATTGTATGCAGAGACCTGTATCAACAAGACAGTAAAAAAGACCTTCATTTGTGCCTGAAGGGGATTTTTTTCCATAACTCAGCTGGAAGCAGCTTTTGATTCCTTCATGATACAAAGGTCTCATTCATGGCAGCTACAGCAGCCTCAAGGTTGCACTAGATTACAGATGATGAAAGGACTCTCCAGGGTGAATAGAAAGAAAAAAAAGTCAAATTCATGCTTTCTGACAAGCTTTCGAAGAGCCAAGTGCACTTGCAAGAAGCCAGGGGGATAGTAGTGGGGAGGGATGAGGCTGGCCCTGGACACTTACCAGTGAGGGCAGCAGAGTATCTACATTAGTTTCATAGTCAGCAGCTTAGACCAGTTATTTTGCAAAACTCATATAAGCAGAGCAGCCCTGCTGGAAAAGGAGAACCAGAACCTGAGCATGTCCAAAGAGCAGGGACTAGCTACTACATCTGTTGCCTATTTATGGGAATTTTGTGGGGTTTTCATTCAGAAACAAGTAACAGATCTTCTTCCTTAAAGTGACATGTCCTCCTACTGTTCCAAAGTTACAGAAAGCTTACTTCAAATTGGGGCTTTTTTTTTTTCTGCTCTGGTCATTTATAACAAAAGTTTGACTCAGATTCCACGCAGATCTCTGGTGTTTGTCCTTACCTTTCTTCTTTTGTGAGACCCGTCAGTCTTCTACACTTCCGAGCAAGAATGAAGCTGAAAAATAGGAATACCACAAACTATTTTCTTCCATTATCTTACTACATTTCTTGCATTATTTAAAATGTCAATAGCTTATGATGAGATGTTAATCAAATTAGCTTTTGGGTCTCCACCCAAAACATCCATTTCACCTCTCTGCGCAATGTTATATTCTACGTCTGCTGCTTGCAGTCCACAGGACTCACTGTGGAAGGAACCACTCCGAGGTTCAGGTTGGAGTATTTGTATGAGCTCTTTCCCAGTGTCCTTACATTTATACAGCAGGGCATGCAAGCATATAACAACATGAGGTGAAGCCTGGGATTGAGCTGGAAATTTCGTTAAATACAATTTCTAAACTTATCATAGTCTCTGACTGTTTAGAAATAAAACATAATTATAGGGAAAAAAATAAATAAATAACTGGAAGATTTAGGGAAGGCAAACTATTTGGAGATCCATTTCTGCAATCATTCCCTTTCTTCTCCTTCCTTTCCTTTCCTGCAATCTTGTATTTTGCCACAAAAAGAGTGAGAAAGACAGAAGAAAAACAGAATTCCACTTTTTAAAATTAGCAACTAAATCACAGGGATAACTTTTTTGAAAGAAAAGTAAATAGAACATATTCAGCACAAATTGAGAAACTCAACCCTTTATTTTTAAGTATTTCCCTTCAAAAGTAGCAGGTTTTCTGTTTTAATTGTTGCCTCTCAGGCAGAATAAAAATGCATCAACTAGACATCTTCTTTGGCTCTTACCCAATTATGGCAGGAAAGCTGCCATCAGGCTTTGTATCATCAAGTGTTAAACCAATTGCAGCATCCTCATCTTCAATGATCATGGTGCCACAATACCCTGGCAAGCAGAAAGCGGAAAAGGAGTTAGGGTCCATGTGTCCAAAAGCAGGAACAAGGTTCCAAGAAGTTGTGGAATACTTATAACTTGACTGGAAAAAGCCCTAAACAACCTGATCCAAATTCATCCTGCTTTGAGCAAGGCATTGGACTAGATGGCATCCAGAGGTCACTCCCACTCTCTCTTATTCTCTGATTCTAATGTAGGGAGATATGAAAAGAAAGGAAAGAAGAATAAAACAAAACAAACAAAAAAACCAACCCAACCCAAACCAAACCAAAAAAAAACCCTAAAGCAATCTCCATCAATTGACCAACATTAGCCCATAGGTCCCTTGCAGTGTAATATCCCTTTGGTTCAGAGAAGTGCTAGATCATCTCTAGAGGAGAAAATTCAGATCTCAGATGTGCTGACAATTAATAACCATTTTCAAGCACCTTTAGACTAGAAAGCCAACAAAGGAATCTCCTATTGCTGAATTTATGATACAAAAATAAATTATTCTGCAAGCCAGTAATTATTAATTACACAGAAACAGATTGGTCTCAGATATCAAAGATGTTCAAGTACCTCCAGTACAAATGATTCTGTATATGACATTTATATCAGACATAGGAGGAGATATTTGTACATTTGTTTGAAAACACAATTATTCTTAAAATAAGTGTTTGAAGAGAATAAATTGTTTTTGAAGGAACAACCAGAGTGTTAGGAAAGCACAGTATGCAAACTATGGGTTCTACCAGGAAATGAGTGTCACCTCTTGCCAATTCACCCCAAACCTAATAGCCAGAATATGTCAGGATCCAGAAAATAATTTGCTGAGATGAAGGGTGGATAACATTTGCAGACAAACACAAATGTGGAGTCTCTATATCCAGTGAAGAGAAATGGGTGCTACTACATTGCAGATTGTCTTAGATTCAGAAAGTTCTAAAAGTGATCTGAGGAATCATGATGGAAGTACTCAGCATGTAAAGGGAGTGCAGGATGTCTAGCCCAGCTGGGGATGTCTGTGTGAAGACAAATTAATCCTGCCCTGCGCATCCAGAAGCCAGAGATTTTGGAGGCTGACAAACTGATTGGATAAAATCTCACTCCATCACATATCAGTTGGACCTTTAGCTTACTGTACAAGTGGGAGAGATGCATCTCATATTCAGGCGCCACTGAAGGAAAAGAGGAGGACAACAAAAGACAACCAAGGCAAGAAGCAATAGACATGAGTTCTCCCTTCATGCCTACCACCTCCTTTTAATTCTCCCATCCACTCTCTCTTCCCAAATCACCTCTCAAGTTCCGCAAACAGGGAACAGCAAAACTGGCATAGAAGTGTACGAAGTCTCCTTCTATGGTCCAGCATCCTCTAAACACAAAGTCTACTCCATTGCATGTACCTTCTTCCCTCCCTCTGTTACTACTATTCCCTTCAATTAAAGCATAATACCCTTCTTTCTCCAGAAAGTTTCCTTATAGTACACAATACACTTGATGACTGAGCCCATGGGGATTCGGTTGATGAGCTGGTTTCTCATTGGTGGCAAAGGTGGGTTGAAATGAATCTTCAAACCAAGAGCAGGGGGAATGGCACTGATCACATATTTGCCCTGGAAAAGAAATTATACATAAGCCAAATACATTCTTCACTACTTCATGCTAAGTATGTTGCTTTAATGATCTTGGCAGACAACTGAGGAGGCTCCAGGGTGTATCTTCTGAAGCAATTTTGGCATTTAGCATAAGAATTGCAAAACTGAAGACTCACAAAATCCTGGTTGTTAAACAACAAACAAGCATTATAAAAACAGCCATCTGTTCCAATGATGGGCAGCTGCTCTTTCCCCAGCATTTGACAAAAAGCCAGTGGAAAGATTTTCTGTATTACAAGGGTTCATCAGTCTCCCTTCCATCTGGACTCCTCTATTACAACTTGGAAGCAAAGCCTGAAATGTTTTTCACAGGAAGATTATTACTAAGCTACATTTCTGTGCTCACCATACAATTATTCTTTAATTTGGAAGGTAACTGAATACTAGAGGAGACGCTAGTGATGGAAGAACTCAAATATACTTTGCTTTTCAGGCATCACTTCAAATCTCTACTATTGCTATTACTTGGGGATGATGAGAAAGTGTGATTTTTCTGTCAGTCACTTTAAACTCTGCTACATTTTTGTACAGGAGAAGTCAGAAAGGAAAAGCTAAAGGTTTTCTAGCCATCCCAGCAAAATCAGCTGCTTAAATGTCAGAGGTTTCATTACCTCATATAATTCACGATCTAAGGTTTCCACTATGACACTTTCACCCGACTGGTCGATGCGGATGACTGGCTTCCTCAGCTTCACCCGGCCTCCCAGGCGCTCCATGATTTTCTCACTGATCTGGCCAGAGCCCCCAACAAACTTTCTCTCCTGAAACACAGAAAACAACAACTTAGCAAAGCAGAATCAGCTGAGTGATGCATGTGAAGCACATTTCACAACAAGCATTTTGCTCAGCATTCAAAGCAAATCCTTCCACTGTTATCAGACCTTTTCAAGGAAGTCCAGCAGTCTCACTTGGAAAACATATTCATGCTCCTTTCTCTTCCAGCTCCTTTCTCTTCCTCAAACACTTCCTGTACTTGACCACCAGCCAAAACTAGAAGTATCAGCAACCTCATGAGAAAATCCCTTCTTGTGTGGTCTCCAAATGGATTCCACAGACCCGTGTGAATCAGCAAGACTTCTGAAAAGCACTTAAACTTTTAATCCTTCCTCTGAGTTCACTCTTATCTCTGCAGAGGTCTGTGCATCAGAAGTAGGAACCCTGATCCCCATAATAAATAACAAGGTGTAAAGAGGTGATGTAGCTCATACCAAAAATATATCCCAAAGTATGTAACCTAACCTAATGTAAACTCAAATCACCTCTAACATAACACAGCATTCAAATAATATAGTATATAATGAATATACAGTTTATTTACGTATAATTATCTCTTATCAATGCATCATGCATTTTAACATGTTTTACTGGTTTTTTTGCATTTTTAATTATTTATGATTACATCATCTGCATTTCTAACCCATAATTATTTCTAATATCATCCATAAAACTTGCATTTCTCAAGGGTAAGACCATTGCCAGAGTCTTTACTTTCTTGAAATGCAGAAGCAGCACTAATATATCAGATTTCAAACATTTCAGAGAAATAATATTTTTAAGCAGGGGTGTTCATGTTCTTCAGACTGATTTTAAAATCTTAACAGTTTAAATCCTGGGAGCTAGTGTCTTTAGGAACCCAGTTCTGGGTGACATTTTCCATGTTAATTCAGAGCATCTACACACTAATGCAGCCAGCACTGCCATCCCCACTATGTGGTTCTGAAATGGTAAGGCTTGCTTCAGCCTCAGAACAGAAAAAAGCGTAAGTAATACCTTCTTTTTTTAAAGTTTTCTAACCAGAGCTCAAACAGAAGGGAGAGTTAGGAACTGATATAAATCTGCAAATCTACTGATTCCTGAGCTAATGCCTTCAGCACAGGAATAGCCTTCAACATTAGTTTTGCAAGATTTTGACTAATGTGTAAATTAATAGAATTAGTTATCAATGTGCTACTGACTCAAAGTCATGGATGTCTCAGTTGGCCCTCTGAACTAAAATAAACAAGCAAGGCCCTGTCACAAGCTACAGAAGGAGAAGGCTGACAGTACCTGCCCTCCATTAGTTGTTGAGAATATCCTCACTGTTCCTCCACACTGCTTCACATACCACAAAAACCAAAGGGCAGAGACCTCGTGGGGTTCAGAAGTGACATCCACATTCACAAACAGAGTTGCGAAACTCTTGGCAGCACTGCAGCAAAAATGAGAGTTAATTTAAAAACTAAAGGAGGGTCACAATCTGGTTCTTTAGTAAGGGAGAGGCTGTCTTCTGCGTTCTTGTCTTTCACTGAGGGCAAAGGACTCCGCAATTTCAGTTGAAATAGGAAACAACACCTGCTGTATTCCAGCAAAACTTGAGCTCCAGGAGGCAGAAGAGCCAGGGAAAGCTTATGTCACTTTATGCTACTAATACAAAGTTAGCTTGTCATCCTAGAGTCTGGATTAAAGGAAAAAATCCCCCCTATCTTCACTCGACTCCAAAACCACCATGTCTTCCCATGGTTCCTGGATTACATCCAAGATACACAGCTCTGTTTGCACCTGTTAAATGCCTGTCCCTCAAGCACACAGCATTGAAATTATTCAACACTTGTCATTAAAAAGTTAGGGCTCTTGTCTAAGCTAAATATCTAAGCTCTCTGGATTAGTCAGCATCTCCTCACTGTCTCTGCTCCTTTGGTGTGCTCAGAGAGGAACACAACAGCTGGAACATAACAAGGAAAGAAATGTATATAGGAAACCATAAGCGAAGAGAGCATACACACATTCATGCAAAAGTCTGACAAGGAAAGGTGAACTATCTTTTTGACTGCTCAAGTCAGTATCTTAAACAGTGGTCAGGTAGCAAGTGGTGGTGAACACAAATGTGAAAAGCAGCCTATGTCTGAAAAGTGATCATTGCTTTCTGTCCTCCAATTGGTGCTTTCTTAACAGCTTTACTGAAAATTTCTGTATAAACCTGTATGAGATTTTAGGGTGCATAAACAGAGTTAATTAAGGCTCGGGGAAATATTCCTCCTGTTAGAATAAATACTTCCTCTGCCCTCACTCTGAGGAGGAGTTTAAAGGGACATGGACAGGACCAGGAGATGCTCAGCTTAATTGCAGTGTGCTTGACAGGGACTGTAATTCTACAGGTTTTTCACATGACAGGCTTCAGGCAATCATCAACTTCTAAACGAGTAGATTGGTCCACTTTTAGTTGCTTCTTTCTTTTTTCAGTCTTCGAACATTTTTGAATGGTGGGGAGGTGGGGGAGAAGTGAAATGCCTAACTCAAACAGCTGTAGATACAGACAGAAAAAAAGGCATCTTCTTTCCTTTTTAAAAATGCCAAATCCTGCTG